ATTCACAGCCTCTCTATGGATCAAAAGCCTTGGGAGTAGCCCCATTCAACAGCAGACAATTTTCTTCCCTGTGCAACCTGAAGACTTACGGTGACAGAAGATTCGGTTTCCTAAGTTCATTTATTCCTCTTAGAACAGCTTACATTAGAAAGTTTGCTATTTTATCGAGCTGTCATCTCTGGTTTCTTCCCACAAATTCCAGTTGCACCCTCCGGGGTTTTAGTGACTAAATACAAACCCTCCGAAGATTGTCACTGATTTGAGAGCTTTGTCTAGACCATATCTGATTTCAGACTGAATTTGTTTCTATTCATAAGGCTTTCATTCACAAATCCTAATGAGATTATTAGAAACCCAATTGGAATGGCTCGGAGGATATATCAAAGGGATAGCATCTTTTAAGGTCTTAGCTTTGTTCAACCTGGAAGGTAGAACAGAACTATGGGTTGTTGATTACTAACAATGTGTCACTTAGTTTCCACACACTTCTTACTTCATATCTTTTAACTCATCAAATTATGGACTAATATAATACAATTCTCTATGACAAAAAGATACTTTTTGTCAGATAAGCAAATAGACATCATTAAGGAAGCCAGAGTTTCCTAGTTCTAAACTATAATGAGTTCATTTGACTTATTTGATTTAAAGACTGGCATAAATTAACACACGGATTTGACACATTAATCTCTCATCAGCAGAGACATTGACTTCCTGTAGGTAAGTATCACAGAGTTGGAGTCAAAAGAATCTTGGCTCTATACTCTGGCTTTTCCTTTCACAACTAAGCAGAGGAGTGAGTTGTGTAACTTCTCTGTGATCCATTATCCTGATTTGTAAAATAATAATAATGGCAAGGGCTTTGATAGGTTTAAATGAGTATAACAATGGGATCATGTGTGCAATGGTGATAGTACAATGTGCAGCACATGTTAATGGTGACGATAAAGAGAACACTGAGCTCCAAGTAAAGGACATATAAAATATCATTGCTGGAAGGGGATTTAGCAATTGTCTAATCAAATCTTATCATTTATCTGTATGGAAAGTGACACCAGATCCTGAAGGCATGTAACAAGGTCATAGAGCAAGTTAGCAGTATGCTACTTGTTCCCTGTTTTGTGTGCTACCTTTCCTGTACCCTGAAGTCCGTGCCCCTCATCTTGCATTTTCTCACACAGATTAGCATAGAAATTAATTTGTCCTCTGTTCTATGGGAGGGGTGCAGGAGAGAAAGAAATCACAGTCCCCTTCTCTTTACACCCTCTTCCTTGAGGCTTTCCTTCACACTTAATTGCTAAAGACATCACATGAAAAACAAATCTTCATTTCTGTGGGGTCCATCTGCTTTGCCATTCACCTGCACATGAAAGATACTTGTCATGAATGCATCTCAATTTCAAATGAACAGTCAAAAATGTTCCTATCAAGGCAGCCATACAGGGGGTACAAACCTCCATGACAGGTCTTCTCCAGAGGCAACTAAAAGGCATCCCCTTCTACTACTGAGCAGGATAAGAAGAGCCTGTCAGAGCTGCTTCCCCAGGCCACGGGGCCCTCAGGCAGACAGATGTGCCTAGTATGAAGAGAAGTTTTCAAAAGCCTCCTCATTCCCAGCCTGGGGCAGAGCAAACAGAGCTGGGATCATCAAAGCCAGCTGCTGGCCTCCAAGGTTGATGCTCAGTGACTGGTTTTTAACTTCGGAGTTCTTACTTCTCCTTATTATGGTTAGTTTCAGTTATATTTTGTTTTGAAAAATTTTACTTCTTAAATCCACATGTAGCAGTGATATGGAATAAAAATATCAGGACTAGGCGAATACTGCATATGGTTGTCAGGGAGAAGCTGGGAATAATGAACCCTTTTCCTAGGAGTTTCCCCTTTTTATTATACCACTGTCCAATTTCCCCAATGTAAACAGCAGGGGAAATTTCCACTCCCATTTCTTTATTCTCACATAAATAGAGGGAAATAAGAAGAGGTGGGAAAGCGACTCATTCTAGATTCAAGAGATGATTTTCACAAATCTTTTCACCCAGTATTATAGAGATTGCTGCCATTCCAAAACTGAGTGAATGAAATTCTCCCAAGTATTTTGGAAAGGATTCCAAGGTCAACACCTATTAAACATTTTTAATTGTTTTATAACTTTCAAGGTTCTCCCATGTGTCCCTCATTTTATTTATTTATTTTTTTATGTGAGTACTGGGGATGGAATTCAGGACCTCGAGCTTGCCAGGCAGGCGCAGTGTTGCTGAGCTATATCCCAGGCTATTGTCCCTCATCTTAAATCTTGTAAGAACTGCATCAGATGTGTCTTATTATTAGTTAATTGTTAAAGATAGAGAAGCCTAGAAAATAGACATAAGTCAAACCTATCTCACTGTTAGTCTTCTGTGCTATGGTGAGTGATTCAGGTCCAAATCATCAGAGCAGAGAATTTACCACTTAATGCTGCTGGGCTTAAGGGTGGGTATATGACCTAGTCATGGTTATTTAACTACATGGGATTTTTTTTTCTAGGACTGTTGGAAAAGAAGCATGTTCTCAGATCTGTAGGCTTTACCATGAGAACACATGAATCTAGAACTGTTGGGGATTAGCAGAAGAGAAGAAAGGCTACCCAGTGGAGGGCAGAGCCAAGAAGCAGAGAAACACTGAGCTCTGAGGGAATCCACAGCAATGACTAACACGTCACGGTTTCATTTCAGCACTTTCTCTTTCTGTGATTGGTGAGAAAAGGAGAACTATCAATTTCATTTGATAATCTAGATGAATAAAGACTTTGGTAAGGCAGGTTTACGTGAATGTAAATTTACACTGATGATGTGAACATGCCAGTACAAAGTATTAAAATAAAAAATCTCATGAGTTATAGCATAATTTGATTTTTTTGGCAAGTACCACACAGTAAGAAAAATATGAGGAACAAAATTACTTTGGTGATGTTGCCATTGTTATGTCCTGAGGAATACAGTAAAGTGTCAGCCCTTTCACCATTCAGATTAAATTTATCTGAACTTCAATTCCCTCTTTTAGAAAATGTCTTCCTTTCTTCATTAGACTTCCATCAAATCCAAAGCGTTACTTTGTCTGGCTTCCTGTCAAGGAAAGGAAATGAAAAGTATACTCAGTGTCCGAGGATCACCTGCTTTTCGATTATAGCTTTCACTGCTGGCACATTTTGTTGGCAGTGTTAGGTGTTACAGTGACTGAAGGACTCTTTATAATTTCTGGCCTAGAAACAGCTCTAGATGTGGGAGAAAAAGAGTGACCTTTTGTTCTCAGTGTGATACTCAAATATTGTCACTGCATTCCAATATAGGCATGAGTTTCCAGTGCTACTGAGCTGAAGCTCAATGCCTTTGGCTTACAGACACACAGCGATTCCTTGAGGCAAGCCCAAGGTGCCAGCATGACTGAACTGGAATGAATTTGGCCATGAGCCACAGATTGTACCCAAAGCTAAACTTTCCTCAAGGCAACGTAGAGAAAGACAGTGGTGGGAGATGTGCACCAGGGCCCTTATGGGTTTAAGAAGTCAGTTTTGGCTCCCCTCATTGTCCCCTGATGAGGTTGGGATTTTCTAGTGATAGTGACGTGATGCTGTTAGTATATGGATGAGAGAAGGCTAGGGCTGCTGGCAGTCAAAATACAGCCAATTGCAACAGCCTGTTAGATCTCACACATCCTCATATCTAACTGACGTATATACTTTTCCAAGCCAATATATTTTAGGAATAATTCTTGTACATTTTCTTGTACCATCCAGAGCAGGTTCTACTTTCTATGAAGAATTTCCTGCCTTCTCCATTATATTCTGATTCTCACAAGCATTAACCTCAGCATCTTGTACCACTTTAGTGTTTGTTAATAATCTTTCCCTGCTTTGGAACAGCATTAATATCTAGTATGTACATAAAAGAGTTCTTAACCTACTTTCTACCCTGTGGTATCTATGGAAATAATGCATCTACCAGCCATTATAAGATATTAATAGCACTCAAAAAAGTATCCCTCTCCACCACTCCTGGCTTAAGATTTGTTGTCACATAGGTGTTTAGAATTTCATAGGCTACACACAGTCATTCCCCGCCTCAGGGAAGGACAACCCTCCAATGAATTGCTCAGATTCTGGATGAAAAGCAGAGACCTGAAGCACTGACCCCAGGAACAGGTGACCTAGATCAGCATAGTAGTGAAAACCACACACCCTAGAATGAGGGCAATGAGAGCCACCATCTCCACGTGTAGATTTTGAGCTCCCGGTCTAAATAACTCTGAAATGGCACAAATGGTTGTAAAGTGACATAAGTGATTGGAGGAACGTCCAGCATTCCCATGTCTACATTCTGGGAGCAAACTGAAAAAGTGCACAGGAACGCCAGACAATAACCACTCAGTAGAAACCATCAGACCATCCTGAGCCCTCTGAGTTTGAGGAACTTCATTGCCTGCAATATGTGAGGAGAATGGCGGGGAGACACTGCAGTCTGGGCACAGACACAAGACTGAGGAAGGAAAACATCTCACAAGGAAATCGATGTCAATTGACCACTGCTCTAGACACCACAGCTTCAGCTCCTGCACAGAAGGGAGAGAATGGCAAGAGCCACCACAGGGGACACGAGGGAGGGGCAGAAACCCAGCCTTGGTGGAGAGGCCTCGCTTGCCCTGGACGTCCAAGTTGAGACCCTGTGACTACAAGTGTCCTTGGGACTGAGCCAGGCTTAGGGGCTGGGACTGAGGGTGGTCAGAGGTGATGGTAACACGGAAAGGTAGCATATGGAGAGGGGGTTTTTAATAAGCCCTGTGTCCCGAGCAGCTGCTGAGAGCATATGTGCAGGGATGGCCAACAAGGCCGCGAGGTGCAGCGCCCGGCCCGGCGAGGCACCCGGAGCCTCTGCAGCGCAGGAGCGAGGCCGGGCCTGGCCAGCGCCTTTGCAGGCGGGCTGTGGAGAACAGTAATGGCTCTGCTTGTTTGTTTGCTTTGTGTGTAGCGTTGGGCTGTGGGGTTTGTTTTGAGGGAAACTGTCAGTTCTGAGAGAAGCTGTGAGGGAAGCGGAATCTGCGCGGCCAGATGGAGGAGCTGGAGGACGCGGCCCGCGGGGGCTGTGGGCGGGCGGGGGTTGGAGCGCGCTGCGGAAGCCAGGAGCCGCGAGCCCGCGCCGCCCGGACGGAGTTCGCTGCGGCACCACCGGCCGCGTCGGAGGCGCCTTTGCCCCGGGCGGAAAAGGGTGAACCCGGACCCGGGAGGGGGACGCCTGGCGCGGCGCGGAGCCGTCAGGCCGGGCGTGGAGTCCGGTGAGCGGCGCCCGGGGCCCACACGCCTTGCCCGCGGGGAATGGGAGTTAAGAATCAACCCGGGACAAGGACCCTCTGCTGAATGCGCGTGTGCAGTGTCTCCCGGACCCCTGGTGCTCCTCACCGACCCTGGCGCCATCGCAGGCCCCGCTGGGTCCCTGACCGGGTGTGAAAAGCAGACTCGCGTGTTTGGACCCGGCCCCCTCGATTACAGGTCGTACGAGGTGAAGTACTCAAACAAAGTTTGTAGATATCTAATAAATCTAAAACACTTTATTTCATGTTAGAATTCATGTGGATACAGGTATTTCATTTAACAGATAGCCACAGACAGAAGCTCTGCTGCCCCTCACTGTGTTCCAGGCCTGTAATCCTAGCACTCTGGGAGACTGAGGTTCAAGTCCCACCTGGGAAACTTAGCGAGACCCGGTCTCAATAAATAAAAAACAACTGGGAGTGTAGCTTGGCATGAAGACCCTGGGTTCAAGTTGTGTGTATGTGTGTGGTGTGAGTTTATCTTTAAGAAAAAGACTGGTGTCCTTTTTGCACAGTAGTGTGACTATAGGTAATTATAATGTAGTGAATATTTCCAAAAAGCTTGAAGAAAGGATTTTAAACATTTCATATTATCCTGTAGAATGTACAATTTTAGGTGTCAATTTAAAAAAGAAAGAAGACAAGAGACTGAAGTTACAGATAAAAAAATCTAAAACACAAAGGACTAAAATAGTTCTATAAAGATAAAAATCATCTAAACAACATTTAAGAAATTAAGAGGTTGTGATACAGGACTGGATTTTCTGAGCAGAGCAATGAAAGAGACTTCTGGTGTGGAAACTAGAATAAACCATGTTGATTTGATGGGTATCAAGATATGTTTAAAATGAATGCTGAGTGAGTTACAGGCTTCATCAGCCAAACTCATTTAATGCATTCCATATTTAACGGGTTGTAGATGGAATGTTACTGCATAACACTTTTGAAAAAGAAAAAGAAATAGTCTTCATTCTGGAAATGCTTAATTTTAGTATGGATTATACTAAACACATAGAAAGGATATTTTAGCTCTTCCTAAAACCAAAGACGAAATATACTGGAATAATTTAAATCCTGTAATAAACACAGGAGATAAGATGTAATAAAACCTCTAAAATAGCAGAGAACATGAACTCATTTTAAAAATTGGTCTTTAGCAGGTATAATGAAGAAGACAAATATGAACAATTAGGGACTAATGAAGACTTTGTAAAAATTGCTGTTTACAAAGAATAAGTGAGAAAATACTTGGGAAATGTAGACATATATTGAGCAATAGGTCTGAATGACAAATGCCCTAGGCAATTAGGGAAATTAGTCAAGAAACTTAATTAACTTGCCATGATTTTTCAAAATCCTTGTAGCACATCACATACTGGCAGCGTGGTTCCCATCTTCAGAAAAAAGTTATGAAGAATGAGCTCAGATATTACCAGGTAGTAATTTTCTGCTGATACATTAATCACTATTGAAATTTTAAGGTTAGAAACTCAGTGAATGACAAAAAGTGGCACCAAAACCGTAATAATCATGATAATCACAATTAAAAACTGAAGCACACATAACAAAGCAACAGTCATTCTTTTCACCTCAACATCATTGAGATATAATTTGAAGAAATGAAAATAAAATCTACACTGGCTATGGAATATATGTATATGTAATTTTACATGTGAGTAGTCAAACATGAACATGCCAAATAACTTTAATCAATTTAGAAGTTTAACTGTGTAAATTGAAACCTGTTCTTGGCAAGGGAAGACTGAAAATTATCTTCCATAAAAATAGTCTCCAGTGTAGTGTCACAATAGTTAACCAGAGCCTAATTTCCATTAGTCTGTACACTGCTGTTGATGTCAAGACCAAACCTTGTAACATTTAGTTATGTCTCAGTAGTGAGAGTAACTTTAGGCTTTAAACTTTATACTGGGGATTTGTGGTCAGCATTGGTATGGGTAGAAAAGTGTGTCTAAAACCTCAAAGTCAGGGGAGAACATAGCTTTAAATAGGAAAATTGGAGACAAGTATTTGAAAGGAAACAAAATCTTTAAAGAAGATAAATGGGTGGATAAAAGCAAGTAATCAGTAGAAGGATGTTCCCCAGCCAGTGGCAATGCTAATGAATTTTTCATTGTCCTGAGCCAGGACAATGCCCAAGGCCTGGTAGCAGCTGTGCTTTCCTCACTCTGAGGTCACTGGTTCCAGACTGTCTTCATCCATGCTAGGCTAGCATAGGAAAATATAACTGTGGCAGATTTGGAAAGCTACCTTCACATTTTCAAAAATGGAGACCTGTGTCCACATTCATGAACAGAAAAATTAGATACAAGGGGCATGGAAGGATAAAGATAGCATAAAGACAGTGCCCCCTTGTAGAATCCTAAATTGTGTTCTTGTACGGTCATTAGCAGGTCCAAAACTGACAGTGTCTTCTCATCTCCGAACAACTAAATTAATTGTGTTTCTCTACCAAAAATATCTAAATATATTGTTACCATTTATCATCTAATCTTAGACACTTTGGTTTCATTGAATTTGTATTTTCTGGATTTATAGCTATAAAACAGATTTTTTTTTAAAATGCACTTACCAGTATATGTGAAAATTAACTTCCTTGAGCTAGCCCTTCCTGAAGTTGTTCACACACTGTGACATGCGGTAGGGATCATCACCATCGTTCTGGTTAAATCCTCTTTGTGCACAGGCATATCAGTGTTAATATGCACACGGACCATTTATAAAACATGTTTTATACTGCCTAATACTGTGCTGCTGTTATGGGTCGAGGAACTCAATAATTATAAAATAGTTCTCTGCCCTCCAAATTCATATTGTAGGAAAACAGTACTATTACAAAACCATGTGATAATGATTCTGATTTTAAAAGAATGGTTAAGCATAAGAGATAATATACTTATTCCAGTTCTATGTCCAGGAAGGTTTCCTAGAGAAAATGACATTTAAGAGGCGAATGAAAAGATGTATAAAGTTTAGGAAAGTGTGAGAAGAGTTTGATGAGAAAAGGCAACACAGAGAAAGAAAAATTGCCAGGACTCGGAGGAGATGTACTGTATCAGTCAGTGCTTACTAGAGAAGAGACTTAATGCAGATACACAAATACAAGATTTACAAGAGTTTACAAGATTGGCTTACAGTGGCCACCCACAGAGTCAGATGTGGAAGAGTGCAAAAGGATACAGTCGAAGGTCCGGAGCTCACTATAGTGTCCCAGAGGAGGCTGGGTCTTCTGTCTTCAGTAAACTCATTCAGCCACACCCAGAACTATGCTCATTCAATTTAGTTGGGCATTTCTTACTCAGATTGACAGGATCGGTTAACCATCATACATTTATAATAGATTTCTTGAATTGCTCATAGTGCAGTTTAGATAAAATGAATACGGTGCAGAGATGTGAGCCGGAAGAGGTTCCTAGAAAACAAATCTTGAATGACCATATACAACATACACCACAGATTTGGTAAGCAGCAGCTGCTGCTAAGTCTTAGAAGTAGGCTGTGGTCAAACCCTTCCAAATTGGGGTCATCTCATTTGCAAAATCACTATTTGTATTACCTCTGATATGTACCAGTTCAATGACTGTAGATCAGTATGAGTTTCAATCAATTTGCAACAAAGGAAAGAAACAAAAAGATGCTTATGGTGCTCTGAATATGACTGAGAAACAAAATGTCAAGAAGCAGAACATTTTGTTAGGAAGAGATTCCTGGGCTGCAAAGAAAAATCGTAGACAAGTTGCTTGAGAGGCATAACTCTGAACCAGCCCAAAACTGAAACTCAGAACACACTACTTAGTTCTACTTTTAACGACTCAAGAATGTAAAAACCTCTTTAATGTCCTTCATTCTGCATGTTCTGATGCTTCTGATGCCATGATCACTCCTCCCTATTGAGAAGCTCAATACACTTTCTGATTTGTTTTTGTCTTTCTTGTGTAGAATCAGTCAGTGTAATTCTGTCAATGGACTGATAAGAATATTGAAATGATTGAGGTGGGCCAACCACAATATATATGCTGTAGTCGGCTGCTTTGAGTTTCGGCATTCTAGAAACACATCCAAAAGTTTCCTTTGACCTGTCTTTTCCTTCTCTTGTAGGAGGGAGTGAGAGAGGATCTTTTGCAGCATAATGCCTTTGATTGATTAGAGAGATAGTGTTTATCATCCAGCAGGAACAATTGGGAGAACACAAGCTGTATATGTGTGAAATGTGTTGCATTGTCTGTTACTTCAGCATTTAGGCATTTGCATTTAAAACCCAAGCACAAATATTGTGAGTCAGGATCAATTTTGCTTTAAATCAGTTGGGTAGGTCCAGAGCCCAGGCACACTGGCAGCCGAGGCACCTGTTAAGGGAGATGATAAATTGAGTTCTTAAGTCCTTGGCAAAGGAGCTGACTTAGAGATAAGAGATAAGAAAATTAGTTTGCAATACAATCCCTAATGATTAGATGGGATGGAAATCAGAAGGTCTTGTGCAATCCTGACTACTTTTTTTTTATTACCTTGGCAGCTTATTTGGTACATCAGCATATTTTGCAGCTTTCCCCCCTCAGTCCCTTCAGTAACATCTTTTGCTTGAGTGAGCAGTAAATAACAAGGAAAACCAGGGACAATTAACTATTATTGTAGCCCTATGACTAATGAAAATGTGTACACTGCACTTTGGGGAAAAATGTACTTATTAACATGCCTGTGGGGGGTAGGTTAATGTAGCTATTTTAACTTTGCTTAGGAGAAACTGGAGTAGAATAACTTACCCAAGGTTATCCAGTGGTCAAAACTGCAGAGTTCTTCTCAGCAATGGTCCCAAGGCACATTGTGAAGAAAGTCGAGGGTACCTTGCAGCATGCCCCTGGCTGCATCTCAGACTTTAAACACAATCCATCTCTGCACAGTCCAGATCCTCAGTTAGCTAACTAAAAATAAATATGTTAACTAATAAAGCTAATACTCCCAAATCTTTTCACATATATGAACTCATACATTTCTTTCGTTCATTTCTCAAGAATCATGAGCTGAGACAAATTTTCAGGACTTGAAGAAAGTTCTAATGGTGAGGTGACAGTAGATGGGGTTGATAATAGAAGTTCATTAGCTATCAAATCACACTGTTGCTTATTTTTATTAATTAACCAAAATTTGTTGAACACTTACCTGATAGTTATATATCTGTAGCACAAATTTCAAGAGTAATGTCATACTAGACTTTGGATGTATACTCAAGGTTTTCCTTATATAACATGGAAGCATATTTTATCATATAGCTAATGGTTAGCTACTGGAAAATTCTTAGTGGGCTTGTAGCTCAATTACATTTTCCTCATTAGTTCTGGCAACAATCTTTAGGACTATAGAGAAATTCAGCAAGAGTGAGGAAATCGTAGCCCTTTTCCAAGAGATGGTGAAGACTTGGTGTAGACCTGAGTCCTGGACATGAAGAGGCAAAAACAGCTTGTGAGTGACATTGCCATCCCATAACAAATGGCCAGAGGTATAAAGAGCCAGTGACTAGACGTGGAAAAGAAAGGACAGGATGAGGTGACTGCCAGGCTTCTGGCTTACAGAACTAGGGGAAGGGCAGTACCATCCTGTGAGACTGGAATCACAGGAAGAAGTGCCTTTATTTTTAAATATTTAAGCCTGACACATCTGAAGACATCTGGAAGATGATGTCCAGTGGGCAATTTTCTAAACATGCTTCAACCTTAGATGCGGAATGTGTTCTAGCATAAAGATGTGAAAGTCATGATGTATCAGATCCATGCAGCTCAGGTGGTCTTCACTTTCATTCCATTGGCCTTTGATCCTAAATGGAGATTACAGTCCTCAGAATGAACACCTAGACCAGCCATTAATTTTTTTCTTTGATGGTATTCATTTTTAGTATTTCTTTAAAGTTATGAAGTATTCTTATAATCTTGGCAATTTCTAGGAAAATATGCAGTCAAATATCAAGTTGTGGCTAATAAACTGAAACACATATAACTGTAGTAACTGGATTGTAATTCATATATATTCTCCTTTACTTCCAGTAGTTTCACTGAGGATTTTTAATATTTGTCTTTTGGTTCAGAGGAGTCTGTAAGTTAAAGTGAATTGTAAATGAACAGAAGTAAAGAATTAAAATGGTCATAATAATTAAACTATAATTATTATTATTATATGTGTATTATATACATGTAAATAACAAAACAATGTCTTCATATCACATAGTACTCAATAAGTATTATTTTTCTTACCCACATTTATAGATCTAAGTGCTCACAATATCTTCTGCAGAATAAAACTAGATCTGTATTAATAATCAAATTACTAGTTATAAGAAGTCAGTTCTAAACATTCCAATTCACTTTACATTGATTCGACCTTGACAACAATTATAAGGCTTCCTTCTGTTCTTTTTTATTTCCTTTCAGTGTGCCAAGAGACTTGGATGCAGTCACTAAGGCTTTTTATTTTTAATTAGAGAACACTTATTTGTTCAAATATGCGTCTTCTGAAATAAACTCAAAGTTGATCACTGTTAAGCTTTGAAAAATCAAAATTAAAAACAAGAATGTTAGTAGAATTTTGCTAGATCTATTCCAGGCTATCTCAAACGTATTTCTTAAAAATGAAAACATTGTCACTTGTCTAGAGTACTGCGTAGGAAAAAGATATAATAACTCAGTCAACTACATATGGGCTGATATCGCCACCCAGTGGTAGCATGTCGAAAGTGATTTTAGTCCTTTTTTGAACATCAGAAAAAAAATTACAGGCTGGGAAAATTGTAATTGTGATCAGCATGATCTGTAATCTAGCTTAAACTCAAGTGGAATTTTAAAACTGTAATTACAGTTAGTGTTTCTGTAATAAAATTTTCTCTCCAGCCTAAGTAAAAGTCAAAAATTCCATA